AACATCCCAATAAATATAATAATAATAATAATAATAACCTCTCAAAATAAATAGCACATTTATCAGTTTTGAGACCAGAAAACTTTACTGAATTCATCAAAGCAACCTTGAAGGCATTTCATAGAAAATAAATCTCCCCTACCAAATGAGAGTAAATCATCAACAAATGTTAAGTGAGTAAGCTTGATCTTCTTACACCTTCGTAGATATTTGAAATCTCTGTGTTGACATCTAATATGCAGCAGTCTAGACAAATACTCCATACCAAGCACAAATAGGTAAGGAGACATGGATCTCCTTGATGTAGCCCTCTTTTACCTGGAAAATATCCATGAAGACCACCTTTAAAGTAGATAGAATAGTGAGGGGAAGTAATGCGTGCTATTATCCAAGGCACCATTGTACTAGGAAAGCCCAATCCCTCCCACATACGCTTCATAAAACCCCAATATATGGTATCATATGCCTTCTTGATGTCCATACTAATCATACACCTTGGGGATTTGTGTTTCCTTCCATGGTTTTTGACAATGGGCTAATAAGACATTACATGTAATAATCCTTCCCTTGATAAAAGCATTTTGAGATTCATTGATTAAAATTCCAAAAACTGATTTGAGTCTATGAGATATAACCTTGGAAATCACTTTGTAAATGAAATTACAGCATGCTAGGGGTCTAAAGTCAGAAGCAAATTGTGGACTTTGAAGTTTAGGAATCATAGTTAAGGATGTAGCATTCACTTGTTTCAATACTCTCCCATTACCAAAAAAGTCAAATACTGCTTGTGTAATCTCGTTACCAACATTATCCCAATATTGCATGAAAAAATTTGCAAATAGCGGTTGGGACCTGGAGCCTTATCTTCAGAAATGGGGAAAACTGCAGACTTCATCTCCTCATGAGTAACTACTTTACTGAGCTATATCCTGTGATCATTTTGGGGACATGGCCCGCATGAATATACTAAAATCTGGCTTTAAAAGACCATCCGGAGCAGTCACCATGAGATCCCTACAAAAGGGAAGGGTTTCATTGACAATTAACGCCCCATCAGTGAGCCTTTGACCTGCAGAATTACACAATGGCATGATTCTGTTGAAATGCCTTTGGCTTTCATAGCATTATAGAAAAATTTGGTACATTTATCCCCATGAATAGTCCATAGAACTATAGATTTCTGGTGGTAAAATCTCTTTCTGCATCCAACAAATTAACATATTTGTTCAAGGACTTTTTCTCAGGAGTATGAAGATTAAGATCAGTAGTATTTTGTTGAAGAAGATGCAAGATATCCTCTCGACTCTTTGTGAGCTCTAAGGACCCGCTCACTATTGTTGTAGAAGGACTTATTATTAAGATCCTTGAGCTTGAACTTGAGCAACTTCAGATTAGTACCCACTCTATACATTTTACAGCCATTAGCATAACTATACTGCACATTTCTCACAGTAAGTAGAAACAGTTCATGTTTAGCCTACAGTTTAAAGTATCTGAAAGGCTTTTTACTAAAGTATAAGTCATAACCAATACAAATGAGACCTGGAGAATGATCAGACACGCTAGCTTGTAAATACTCAACTTGTCTTGAATTGTAAGCATGGATCCATTTCTCATTCGCTAAAGTATAAGTCATCACCAATAGGAATGAGGCTTGGATAATGATGAGACACGCTAGCCTGTAAATGCTCAACTTGGGTTGAATTGTAAGCATGGATCCATTTTCCATTTTTCTATCTATATTTGTTCAGATTTTACTTCCCCAATCCTGTTTCTTGTTCCAAGTGTAAAAGAATGAAGAAGTGTATTTTATACTTCTTATACTGCTTCTACTACTTTCTGCAAAGTAATGCTGCTCTGTTGGGTTGAGAGAGATGTTTATGCATGTGTCATGTATGTAAATCAAATTTCTAAGTTGCCATATGTTTACCTGGATAATATAGAACATTAGTTCTCAGAAGTTGGATTTAATCTAATAATGTCAGGATGGTAGTTTCTCTCCTGTTGCTTGCTATGTGTAGCCTTGCATGCATGTCTATATAGTAAGGTTGCTATAGTAGAAGTACATGCCTTTTCTTATTGCACTGTAGTCCTTCTAGAGACTCAGCTGCTGTTTATTGTCACAATTGCTTGAGTTGTGATTGTTATGATGTATTTGACAGACAACATCAAGGCGTCTCGCGGACAAGAAGACAGCGAAGTTTCAGAAAAACATCACCAAGAGGGGATCTGTCCCTGAGACAACTGTTAAGAAAGGAGCTGACTATCCTGTAGGACCCATTGTGCTTGGCTTTTTTATTTTCGTGGTCATTGGATCATGTAAGCTCTCTTTCTCCTTCTAAATCTCTCTTCGTGTTTTAATTAGTTACTCTGGTTACAGGCAAAAATTGCTTTTTAACACAATCCCCATATGTCCACCTTAGTAGAGAGAATATACATACAATTTTAGTTCAAAATGCCTTTATTATCATGACATTACTTTAAACTTTGAATCATCAGAAAGTTTCTTTCTAAAATCACGGCCTTCAGGGTTTGCGGCATATCTAGAGTGTGCTCCAATTTGACTAAAAAACTGGCTACCTTCATCTCAATAAAAAAAACCATGCTTTGTGAAAATTCATAAATCTAACCAGACTAAAGTATCTATGTCGTAGGTCAAGCTGATTTTTACTATGTTTACACCAAAAAGGTAAATTCACCATTTGTAGGATACCACCTGTCATCTGGTCAACCATTTGTTACATTAGCGTAGTTCGATCTAGTTCTCATATATTTTTAAGTCTGGTAAGCCCATGATGACCCTTATGTACCTATCATAAGTGGTTACATGCGATATTATATACAATGTTGAAAGTTGCATGCCGGAATGCTCGGCTTCCGGTAACTTAAAAGCACAAATAGCATAGTGTTCTATGTATTCTGTTATTTTGTACTTTAAAGGAAATGTATAAATATTCATTATTTTAATGAAGGCACTTTGAAGATAAACAATCTAAACAATTTTAAGAGAAAATTCTTAAAATTAATACAAACAATATTAAGTCCTAGCAAGCACTCAAGAGAGTGAAATTTCCCCCTCCTTCCATATTCCTAACCGGATCTAAACTTTTTGGCTTGACTGATGGTTCTACACAAACCATAAAGCCACAAAAGCTTTTGAAATATCGGGAATTTTTTTTTATCTGACCCATAAACTATAAATTATATTTACATTACACTAAAATAACATACATTATATTGAAATAATAATACTTATTATTGAAATATTGGAGCGCTACACTGTGTATGTGTTATTTCTAAAGGTTACATAGCATATTTCAAAATGATACCAAGCATGAATTTTTACTACGCCACTAACCCATTATTTCATGATTAAAAACATATTATTTTTAACATTGTTTATAAATAATTGTGTTATCGTTAACAGATATTGGTTCCACTAATTGGTTATTGGGTCTATTTTTGCCTCTCTCCCCTTCTACACCACCTTCTGGTGTCTTCATCCCCCAGTTATATGAGCATTCAGGATATCATATTATCATATTTGTTCTTATTGTTATCTATGTTGCTAGACAAATATTTGAGCCTATTCTATATGTAGATTGCTTATGTAGATAGCATCATCTTGTTTCTGGACAAATTTCATTTCAGGCCATGAATGCTTGTAGGCTTGGAGCCACTTGGAATGTTTCTCCAGATATTAGTACTAATTTCAGGATACAGTTGTAACTATAACTCAGAAATGTTTTTCCACATCATCTAATTGGTTTTTGTCTTGTGAAAGCTCATATATCTTTAAAATGATTCTGCACAAAGGAGATATATACTTTCCAAATCTTCATTATTTTCTCTATTATACTGTTGTAGGAGATGGTCTCTAAGAATTGGAAAGATACGTGTCTTCATATTATAGGGTACACTTGGATTTAACACGGTAGAGCTTTGAATAATGATGTTGAGACTTCCAAGAGTCATACTAGATAAAGCCAAGACATATGCTCATACCTCAGTGTACATCGATTTTATGTAGGGGGGGTGGCTAGGGGAGCGGGGTGGAAAAGTTGAAATTTTCGGGAGGTTATCTGGGGAAAAGCTTTGGGAGCAGTAGTCGGAAAATTAAATAAAGGGGTGTTTTTGGCAAATGTCACAAAGTTTTGGGGGGTTTCGCGAATTCACCCTTGACTTTTTTCCCTCATGAAAACTGTTCATTTTTTCTTTGGTTGGATTTCTGTAGAGGCATCTATCAGATTATTTGCATATTTGATCAAATGCTCCCCCCTTCTATCCCATTATTCAACTGAACTTGATGTTTCCGGGGGCTCTAATATGATACTTCTCTTTTCCTTTCTTGATTTCAGCTCTGTTTCAGATAATCAGAACAGCAGCAAGTGGTGGGATGGCATAAGATGCCGGTGATAGCTGACGACTAAGGTGCACTTAAAGTATATGATTTACATATGCCAAATTTGTGTAAACTCATCTAGGGGAAAGTTATAGAGAAAACAATTAGAGTTTGTGTACGACTTAATGGTATTGTTGACGAAGTTAAACTAGGTTTTTCATGCAATAAAGAGAGATTTTCTCCAATGCACTCCACACTACTGCTTTGTATCTGGTAAGCTTGCTCTTGCGCTTATTATCATTGCTCAGCGTGTTTATTGTAAATTTGTATCTATCCCTTGCAACCCTTATCGTTTCTTGTATATTTTTTCTTAATGAGAAGAAACCATGATCGCGTATTAGTGTGAATATCAGTGAATCAGAAATCTATTCTGTCACTCTCTTTGCCATGCCTCTTGCTCACGAGCCCATTGCGGCAATATAAGCGACTCACTAAAAGCAACTTGTTGTTTGGCTAAATTCACTGTCAAAAAGTGCTAGCATTTGTTGCTCTTGAGTCTTTTGCGTTATCTTATAAACACTTCAAATCCCCCCATCATCTTTTGATGTGGGACTATTCTTTTTAGGATATTACACTCTTTGCTATTTTGATAGATTTGTAATCCGGATTCTAACTTAAACGTAGAATACTTCTAACGTAAAAAAGGTAATTGTTTTACTTTTGCTCCCTTTCCACTCCTGGAGCAAGGGCAGTTATGTTTAGGAAGTTTTCTTGGGGCCAATAGAGTAGAGTTAGTAGAAGGGGTTGTTTAGTTTATTTACTACAATGATAGGAATTGGAAAAGGGCGTTAAAATAGCATTTGCAATGATTTTCATGTATTTCTCGGAGAACCATTCTTTTTGTTTGTTTTAAGTTAGAAATAGAAAAAATTGAGCCATGCGATGCTACGAGATTAATGAGAGAAAACTATAAAAAAATGATATTTTAAGCATGACTTAAAAATATATCTATATACCAAACTTAGTGGAAGGTACTATTCATAACTATCAATTATTTATCTTCCATTAACTATAGTTGTTGATGTCAGTTATCAAACAAGGGGGTTGTGTGAGGATTATGAAAGTGTTAGGTTTCCAAACTCCTTCAAATGGCGGGTTTTGGGGTTTATTGCTCTTCTTTGCACATAAATGAAAGTGTTAGGTTTCCAAACTCCTTCAAATGGCGGGTTTTGGGGTTTATTGCTCTTCTTTGCACATAAATAGCTCGTAAGAGGGAGGAGTTGGGATCTCTGGTTGTTCCTTCGATGGTCAAGTCAGTAATTGATCTTGAGTGGGAAGTATAGAGATAGAGTAATTCAAAGTTGCATGAAAAACTAGCATTTACCCCATTAAATGCTGCTCCCTTTTATAGTGGATTGGAAGGGCAAAGAGGTAACTTGGGTAGGGTCCAGCTTTGCAGCTGAGTTAGCAATCATCTTCGAGGTGTCGGACACGGAAGAGGGGGCTCATTTGGTCATATAATGAAGGAACAACAGCAGGTGATTGGCGCTGTCTGAGTCTGATGAGTCATAAAGACTATGGAGGCTAGAGTAATAATGATTTGTCAGATAATGCAAGGGCAGTCGGCTAGCGAGGGTTTGGAGATAACTGTTGTTTCTCTATTTGTTTGGTCAAGGGCCAACTAGCATCGCCTTTTGACTTGGTTATGCGAGTTGTCGGCTGAAATGTAGGCTAAGTATGAGTCTTAGTGGGTTGGCTGACAAGTACAGCCTTTTGACTCGACTATGCACGTTATCCGTTGATTGAGTCGGCTACGGAGATGGCTTGACTCTTCTATGTTAGGGATTTATTTGATTAGATGTAGGGACACGTATCAACGTCTTAATGGAGATCAGTACTTAGTGATTTTTGGGTCGTAATAGTTGGCCCCTTTCACTTGGACTACGCCGAGTTCGAGTGAAATAACGGTTTGTCGAGTCATGGGGTGCATTAATGAGGGGTGACTAAGAAGTCATTTTGGATGTGATGTTGTTGATGCCGAAGGATAATTCAGGGCTGCTGTCACCTTGTCTTTCATGCCTGAGTGTGAGCTAATTAAGGCAAGGGGTGCCTAAATTCTGGAGTGGTTCTTTCGGATTCCAGGGTTAATCTCGACCATTGGTTTAGAGCTATGTCAACCGTCGATATATTGATAGTTGTTTGACTGAGCTACCTCTAAATATGGCTGTTGTGGTATAGGGGAAGGTGCTGTTTTTCAAAGATTTTTGAACCCTAACCACAAAAGACTATGATTCTTCATCTTCTTTTCCAGTGATCTTTAGAATGATTTCAATGGCAACTCTGGCCGATTCTACGCTTACGATTCGACAGTGCCAAGCGCCACAGTTGAGGGCGCTACATAAGAGGTTCGACATTCCATGGGCCTTCGTTCTGACAGCACTAGTGGAGTCCCAAGCGGTCTTTGACAGCGATGCAAGTCAGGCTCCGGTGTACATAAGGCATTTGGACTATGGTTTACATTAGCTGCTGTATTTCTTTCTTCGTTGTGTTTTTGAGGCTTTAAGAATATCACTGATGCATGAAGCCAAAATCAATTGCGACCCTAGTGGAGTTTGTCGTCATTTTTCAGTGGTTGGGAGTCGAACCTTAAACTTGCTTGGCCACCTTGTCAGTGTCATGGTTCACTAGCAAGAAGCCCATTTCCATCTTCAGGTATTGTGGGGGATACAAGACAGTCACCGATCCCCCTAAATCGATTAAGGATTAGAAGGTAAAATTCGTATAGGTTGCAGGGGACTACTCAAACTTGGGCTGCTCTCATTAGCTTGAGGTCTCTAGGGAAGCTTTGAAAGCGGGACCATTGTCCAATGCTTAGAGATATGCACTGGAGAATATTAAGGCGTATACGGGCTCTCGTAAGATGAAAGCCTTACTCAACAAATCGGTCTTGCGAGTAGTCGGTATCTCCCGCGAGCCTCCTTTTGCTGAGGATATACTTAGGGCGACTTCACTAACATTCTAGGAAAACATCGAGGCGCCGAGGGTCCCGCTAGTTGAGGCTCAGGAGGGGGCTTAGGTAGGGTCTTCGACAAGGCCAGTGAAACGTCATCGCTCAGATTTTGCGCCTAAGGAAGCAGCGGTGGCTTGTGATCAGGCGGCCAAGATAGCCACTAGGCTAACGGGGTTGATGTGTTCGGTTGTTCAGGTCAAGAAGAAGAAAAGGCTGAGAAAAGTGGGTAGTCGAGGGCCCAAAATGACGGTTGAGTCCGCAGAGATTGATATCATTTGTATTGACGAGGGGTTCCCAGAGCGAGAAGAGGGGGCTGACATCTAGAGGGTCGAAGCCGAAGTTGGGTTTGCTAGTGGAGTTGAGATCCCAGCCAAAATCGAAGCACAAGCAGGGGACGAAAGGCCCCCGAGGAACGTCAAGTCAACCCATCGTCAAGGGAAGGAGTTTTCCATAGAGGGGCATCTCTTCTCGAGGAACATGGATGGCCATATCCTCATCGTGTTGATGAGATCGACCCTGAGGCATGGAATAGGCTGAGGATGCTATTGATAGGATCCCCTAGGGTTGGCCCTTCGATATGAGAAGGAGCCGACCCTAGAGTACAAACACCAGCCTAATCATTATCTTGATGTGAGGAGGTCTATCCTCACTTCTTGGCTCGTCCAATCAAAAGCGGTAGAGCAATTTTGGTTGCCCTGTAATGCAAAGATTAAGGTGGAAGTTCCAGATGTCGACCTTCACCTGAGTCTTAGGAGTTATCTGGTCCGCATGGCTTTGGTGGAGCAGGAAGTATTTAGCTGAAGGAGCGAGTCCAAGCTTCCTATCTCAAACTTCACGAGGAGTCAGAAGCCCAAAAGGCTGATCTAGAAAAGGCTCTTCTGTCGCTGTCGACTAAGAAGAATGAATTAGGTGACTTGCGTCGAGAAATGGAGGTGCAAGAGAACATGTTTGAGGGCTTGAAAGCCTCGAATAATCAAAAGTCAGTCGAGATTGACGAGCTTAAGTGTGAGCTCCACGAGCAGAATAAGAGGACAAGACATTTATCTAAGAATGTCACGCATGGGAGGCGGGAAAGGGACCGAGCATTGGAGTAAGCCGAGGTGGATTGTCATGTTGCTCAACATCTGAATGCTGAACTGGAAGAGGAGCGAGTGGCCCTTAAGAAGCACCAAGAAGAGAGCGCTCAGCGCGAGTTGTCCCTCACTGAGGCCCAAATCCGTATTGCTCACCTGGATTTTGAAGCTTATCGATTTGAAATCGTTGAGGATTATTGCCACAGTGTTTTTGGGAAGGTTGAGGTGACGATGGCTTGCAAGACGGGATATGATTATCTCCTAGCATAGCTTCCAACCAAAATGAGAAGTGTGCTCAACCATTTCCACTATCCTCTAAGGGGTCGCTAGTTACTTGGATACACGGTTGGAGGTAGAGAAACAACATGGCCAACTTGATCTAGGTAGAAGCGGTGTCGGGATAAGGACACGGATGATGAGGCTGATGCTGAGGAGATTAGTGAGGCAGGCGAGGGCTCATGCAAGCAGGCCGATGAGGGCTTGGCTCGAGATAGTTGGGTAATTTCGCTTGAGAAAGATAAAGGGGCCGAGCCGGAAGTACAGTCGATTTCTCTGTTGTCTCCTGGTCCTGGTGTTGATCCATCTCGGTCTTCCAATCTTCCTTGGGGCTTTTTTATATCCATATATTTTTGTTTTGTAGATTGTATCATAAATGTTTTAAAGATATAAATAACAAATGTTTTTTTGTCAATTGGTATTATCTTTTGTGTTCATGTTGAACTATTCTTGGTTTTATGGATTGGGATGACTCAAATTTTGAGACTTGAATTGCTAGTCGGTTTGGTGGTGCCTTGGGTGTTTTTTATAATGATTCCATGAATCAGTAGCATATGCCTTGGGTTTATGAAAATGATGTCAAGGTCTTATATTTATCTTTGTCTCAAGAACAATGAGAAGTGTTCTCTACTGGAGTAGACCAAGTCCAAGTACACATAAGCTTGAATCGAAACGGCTTGTTAGAGTAAGCTTAGTGAATGATATTTTAATTAAATGGACTGAGAATTAATGATAACTCGTTAAAATTATCTTTGTTGTTCGAGTCAACTCCATTCAGGGCTGACTAACACCGCGTTTTTAGTTGGCTACGCGAGCTATCGGTCCATTGAGTCAATCGCTCAAAATTTATGGGCTGGGCGTAAGTTGAGGTTTGAATTGTTGTCGG